GTTGAACCTGACAAATGTCTTTCTCTTTCAGACTTCAATTAATTGTATCTCTTTTTAAATTTCTTGAGGAGTTAATTCTAACTGTTTTAAGTTTTTCTTTTTAAGATGGAAGCGCTTACCTACAAAAAGATGAACTTTGAAGAATTTTGTGCTGCTGCAATCAGTGTATATCAGCTTGAGGCTCTTGAAGGATGGGAGAGTATTGCTAGAACAGCCTTTGAGTATTTTGAACAAGAAGGAAACCGTGTCATCTCATTAGAAGAATTGGCAGTGGTATGCATATTTTGCTCTTATATAACTACATATCAATTGTAATCAAGTTCACAACCCGTGGTGGGTGGTGCAACTGTAAGAAATCTTAGGACGTGTGGGTTATGTGCACAACTTGATTTCAAACTCTGTCCTTGCATGTATCTCGTGTGTGTATTGTATGCCCCCTGCTATTTTGCTTGGTGTGGGCTAAGTGGCTTGGGGTTTGATTAAGGTTGGTGTGAGTCCAAAGGGCCCGTCCTCCCGAAATTCCCTGTCAACCAAAAAATAAAAAACATGCAATCAAGTTCACTTCTGACCTAGTTATGTTGATAAATTTTTTCTGCAGGAAATGAATCTGGGACCTTCAAATCATTCTTTGCTCAATGATTGGATACGGAATTCAGATGGGAAACTGAGCTTCCTCGGGTACATGAAATTTTTACATGGCATAACAATACGGAGTTCTAATACAAGAAATCAGCGGTAGGCGGTAGCATATAAAACCAAGGACAGGGAAAGGCAACTGGTATTTAGTAAGTTGACACCTCCAAATTTTTTTAAATATTATTTCATTCTAAATTAAGGGTAAAGGGATATAAATTATTGTCAGGACAAGAAAGTACTGAGATTGGCTACGATTTTGATTTCATGTCAACATTTTTTGTAACCTTTTTAGATGTGTATAAGGTACCTGATGTTAACAGCCTTTTGTGCAAGTTAAAATTATTATTTTTATTTATTTATTTTTTTTTTTGCAAATTTATTAAAATAATCTATGAATTGTTATACCCAAATCAATCTCTGTATAATTTGCATTAATCATCATTTACGATACTAGATGATGGAGTGTCCAAGGGCATTGAGTCCCCAATTCATACTGTTGCTACGTGCAAAATTTACCTCTAATTTTCCCCAATTTCCTTTGATTTTTGCAAAATTTCCTTCCAGTCACAATTGAGTCCTCAATCGACCATTTCCCATCCAACCATGTCTTTCTTCCATGGAGTTTTATCATCTTTCAACGCATATATATGTTTTTCTGCTACATGAAATAGAGAAGTAAGAAAAAATGCTAGAATTCGTTCTTGGCCTTAAGAGTCGTTCTTGGTCTCAAAGGAAGAGATGGGGACTGGAGGAGGGAGGCAGATTCAATTTTGGGATGTTCTTCTGAAAAACCCTTTAAATCCATTTTAAAATTAGAAAGGGAAAAGATTGTAAGCCACTGGATGAAATCAGTTTCCGGTTTAGGGATCTAATACTGGTGCTACATGGAAACACGGTGGGGAGAGTGACGGAGTGAGTGGCCAAGGGCGACTGCCCTTAGCATTGCTCTTATGTTTTCCCCACTTGTATAGTGACGACTCGGTGGCCGAGAGCAAATGACATGAAAGTCAGTGGATGCCCATTACATACTTTCCATTGTCTTTTCATGGCGACCAAACATTGGATAAAATACATGGTTCCGACATGTCTAGTCCCACAACGAGGAAAAATTAAAGTGATAGACTAAAACGAAAAGCGCAAGTGGGTACATGGAAAGTCTGATGATAGCATTGGCATCCATGAGCCGAAACCAACTACATTTATTCTCCAGTGTGCTGCTTTAAAATAGTTTTTCTATTTAACAAGTAAAACATGAATTTAGCAAAATTAAGCTCTCCTAACGGTAACTTTTTTGGTTAAATACTCCTTTTAGTCCCTCAAGTTTAGCATGTTGAGACTTTTTGGTCCTTGAACTATATTTGGACTCTTTTAGTCTTTGAGGGTATGTTTGGTT